TGCGCCAGCTCGTTAGAAGTGAGCTACGTGCATGAACTGTGTTCCGATCGATATGATCCCTACACAGAGTTCATTGCTCCCTACTCCCTGAGCAGGGGAAATCCGTTGAAGTTTACTTCACTTCGGAACATGGGCTGGAATTGGGAACCTGATGTAGCCTATTGTAGTAATGTTGTCTGTGAGTGTAAATGCGTTCAGGGGGCGTGGCTTTGGACGGCGATTGCAGGAAGGGTGGGACGTTCGCTTTCAGCGCTATCAGGCTAAAGTTCGCATTTTCCAAGATCTCCTATTGTACCTTTAATTTTTCTACCCTGAGAAAAAAAACGGGGAAAAAAAACGAAAAAGGAGCCGTTTTCTCATTTTTCTACTTTCAATATTAAATCAAAAAACGAATGATCGAATGATACACTGATTAATATAGATTCTTAAATGCCAAGAATCGATTATTCAATCCTGTTTTCAGTTAATGGACGCAACATTGAAGGGCACCTCCCAAATCCGTGTATCATTCGATCATTCGTTTTTTGATTTAATATTGAAAGTAGAAAAATTAGAAAACGGCTCCTTTTTCGTTTTTTCGTTTTTTTTCCAAAAAATGAGAAACGAGAATTCAGCTTAAATTTTCGTTTTTCGTTCCCAATCAGCAGAAAGGGGCGTTTAATTCCCACGTGTAGAAATCGAATATTCAAGCTGTTTATTCATTTTTCCACCCATGAACGAAAAACGTAAATTTAAGCGTAATTCTGGTTTTTCGTTTTTCGGAAAAAAACAAAAAAAACGAAAACGGAGCCGTTTTCTAATTTTTCTACTTTCAATATTAAATCAAAAAACGAATGATCGAATGATACACGGATTCTCCCATCCAATAAATCGCAATAACCATTGTGCTTTGATACTTTTAATATGAAACAAAGACTCAGATTTCAAATTCTGTCCATTGTATTGCAGTATTCAAACAATAAATGCCGTTTTGGTGCTGTTTAATGTGGAGTGACAGATCGCTGTAGCGCCTCAGTTCAACAGACGCGGCAGCGCGAGGCGCACGTGAACTAATCATCTCCACATTAATTAAGAGAGATTATTAAGAAAGAGTACAACTTTACAATCCGTATCATGTAATCGCTCAGTGTTTCAGCCGCGCAAAGATGCTAATATAACGGCTTGTAAACAATGTCATGTAACATCACATTTACCTCAGAAACAAACATATTCGGTAACTATAAACTCATTAATCGGCTAGAAAAATAAACTGCAGAGAGGGGCATTTTGCTAAATATATGCATCATATAACATGCATTATAATTTTTACTGTTCTTCAATGTTTAATTTATGCTTGAATAAATCCATCAAGTTATGACAGCCACCATTTAAATGTTTATATTAAAAAAAGAGAGAGAATTGAAGTAGAAATATTATGTAATTTGAACTTTATTTAAAAAACTTCATTGTGTAAATTTAGCAGTTGTACTACAAATCAGTCAATTTTAACCTTCAATATTATAGTAATGTTGTACCAACTGACTCATGTATATTTTACATCATTAGTTGAGAGATTTTTTTTTTTCCTTTAGAAAATTTGGCATGTACTGTACCTGATATGTATCCAAAATAATCGATATCGAATCGCAATCTTGTGAATGAGAACCGAATCAAATTGTGAAATTTGTGTCAACCCAGCCCTACTAGAAAACTAGAGAAACCTTTTCTATTAGCTTTGAAAAATACAAATTATTAATGTATCCTCAAGGTTTTTTTCACTGTAAGACAACAAGATCATCCGTAACTGGCAAAATGGCACAATTTAAAAGAGTTTTCCGAAGTAATGTGTTTGAATACCTGTGTGATACTACGATGTGGATTTCCGAAAGATGGCTGTTGTAATTGTGTGTGAATCTGCCAGTATTAGCAATTACGGATTGTGACCATATGACTTTTAAGCTAGTCCGCTAGCTTTTAGCACTGGAAAATCATATATTGTCGTATTCCCAGCAATTTCAAATGGTGGATTCCAGAGCAGTAATGCTGTAACTGAAATAGTCTTTATCAAGAGAAATTAGTGTCATGCTCACTATATGCAGAGTACAAAAAAAATCATGAGTGCATTTCCAACTCCAATGAAGAAATCCTACATCATAAACTGCAGAGAGGGGCATTTTGCTAAATATATGCATCATATAACATGCATTATAATTTTTACTGTTCTTCAATGTTTAATTTATGCTTGAATAAATCCATCAAGTTATGACAGCCACCATTTAAATGTTTATATTAAAAAAAGAGAGAGAATTGAAGTAGAAATATTATGTAATTTGAACTTTATTTAAAAAACTTCATTGTGTAAATTTAGCAGTTGTACTACAAATCAGTCAATTTTAACCTTCAATATTATAGTAATGTTGTACCAACTGACTCATGTATATTTTACATCATTAGTTGAGAGATTTTTTTTTTTCCTTTAGAAAATTTGGCATGTACTGTACCTGATATGTATCCAAAATAATCGATATCGAATCGCAATCTTGTGAATGAGAACCGAATCAAATTGTGAAATTTGTGTCAACCCAGCCCTACTAGAAAACTAGAGAAACCTTTTCTATTAGCTTTGAAAAATACAAATTATTAATGTATCCTCAAGGTTTTTTTCACTGTAAGACAACAAGATCATCCGTAACTGGCAAAATGGCACAATTTAAAAGAGTTTTCCGAAGTAATGTGTTTGAATACCTGTGTGATACTACGATGTGGATTTCCGAAAGATGGCTGTTGTAATTGTGTGTGAATCTGCCAGTATTAGCAATTACGGATTGTGACCATATGACTTTTAAGCTAGTCCGCTAGCTTTTAGCACTGGAAAATCATATATTGTCGTATTCCCAGCAATTTCAAATGGTGGATTCCAGAGCAGTAATGCTGTAACTGAAATAGTCTTTATCAAGAGAAATTAGTGTCATGCTCACTATATGCAGAGTACAAAAAAAATCATGAGTGCATTTCCAACTCCAATGAAGAAATCCTACATCACTATGCCACATTCTGTGTTTTTTTTTTTTTTTTTTATTATCTTTGACAAAGGCCTTTTATTTTTAACTTCGTACTTTAACTCCATCCCTATCCTATTTCTCTCCGCACCACACCACAGACTAAATAGAAGTGCACCAAATGGCAAGTGTAGGTAATCCTTAATGTTGTTGAAAAGATCTGAAAGATTCTGCATATGGGGTGAAATGTGAGATGCATTTTGAAAGAGAGCAGTGATCAGGAACTGACTGGTATGTGTGGCAATGTGTTCTTGGCAGTCTCTCTGACCTGGTCAAACACCCATTCCTCACCACCATTTGACAATTCGATCCATTTTTAGATGTAACCTCGAGTATGGTGAAAGACCCAGCGGACGTCTTGGACAGGCAAAAATGCCTTGACGCTCTGGCTGCCCTACGCCACGCTAAGTGGTTCCAGGTTCGGAACATCATTTTACTTTTTTCTTGTAGCCTTATGAGATGTATTCCTTTTTATTTGTTCATTTAAGTTGTTTAGTCTTTTTGTTTTTAAATTTTAAACCTCAAAGTTGATTTTTGGGAGGGAATTGTGATACAAGGATGCAGTATATAATTTGGAGATTATGGTTTTTTTTTTTTTTTTTTTTTTTTGCATTCTGTTTTTGTATACATGAGCTGATCTGATCCTAAAAAATGAAGCATCCTTGCATATATGTCATTTATTCATAAGTATTAGATTAAATACATAGCATGTAAAATTATTCCATAAGGCTGCAGAACACCTTTGCATAAAAGTGTCATCGATAAGAGCTTTCATGTTGAGCGTTTCTTTTATTTATTTATTTATTTTTCTCTTTATTTTGTTAATGATTTTGTTTTCTTGGGAATAGGGATTGAGAGGAAAGGAATATCTGATTAGTTTACTGTGTTGTTGCCATCTCTGCAAATACACAGGCAAAGTAAAGCGGATTTCCTTGACTGCTTCAGTTCCTATGCAACTACTCTTGCAAACTGATCTTTTGTAAAATGAAAGTATATGTTTGTGAAGTATCTGACAACTGAGGTCAGGGTTTACAAGATTACCAGGGAGCCATTCCAAGTGAATCTTGCAAACTTTGAACTCGTACTTGTACTAATGGTGAGGTAAAATACTGCTGGAAATGGCAGCTTAAGAAAGCCAATTGGCCTAGCCATTTTTAATCCAATTATAAGCTTCCATTGTGAACAGTAGTGTTGCACCTCTCTCTGAGCTCCGCCATGTTGTATGACTGTATGTTTTTGTTCTTGTGCATTAACTAATCTTGACTTCACTGCACTGAAGGCTAGGGCTAATGGACTCCAGTCATGTGTGATTGTCATTCGAATACTGCGTGACCTTTGTCAGCGAGTACCCACCTGGTCTGCCTTTCCTAGCTGGGTGAGTAACAATATCTGGTCATTAAACATTAGCACATGTTTTTGAGTTTTCTCTGATACATAGATGTACAGTGTTGGACACTTAAAAGTGCTGAGGGCAAAAACTGTGGGCAACAAAGGTTGATCGTCAATATTGTAGTAACGTATGAAGCACAACGAACACGGTTACTTTAAAACCAAGCAGCTTACTGCTGGTCAGTATGGCAAATTTGCATGACCAACTAAACCCATCTTGAGATCTGCAGTTTTTGCCCTCTCAAATTCACAGAACAATGATAAAACATGATCGTAGCTGTGGTTTTTTTTTTTTTTTTTTTTTTTTTTTTTTTTTTTTTTT